CTGCCAGTGTTGCGAGCAGATTTTGACGTGACATCACATGCGACACGTTTGTAGCCTGTCAACCAGCCGTGCACTGCTCAGTTGGGATGAAAACACGAGTGAACTATTGTGTCAGTTTTTACCACCATTGTAATAATATTGCAGTAAGTTTGTGGGGAAAAAACACAAACAGACACTAAAGTCTCGGTTTCCAGTTTTAACTTTTTCTATTCCCACAGTTAGGTCCATAAATATATGGACAGAGACAACTTTCTCTAATTTTGCTTGTGTACATCAGCACAATGAATTTTGAATGAAACGACTCAGATGCAGTTGAAGTGCAGACTGTCAGCTTTAATTCGATGGGTTGAACAAAAACATTAAAAACCTTTTTAATTCCTTCATTTCAGTGGCTCAAAACTAACTGGACTCATTAAATAAGTGAAAATAAAATGTTCGTTTAAACACTTGGTTGAAAACCGTTTGCTGGCACCGACAGCCTGCAGTCTTGATGTCATGGACATCACCACATGCTGGGTTTTCCTCCTTTTTAATGCTCTGCCAGGCCTTTACAGCTGCTGTTTGTTTGTGGGCCTTTGTGTCTGCATTTTAGTCTTCAATAACAATACTCCAGCAGCTTCCTGTGCCTTAATGGCGGCTATAAATAAAGTACGAGACGAGGTTGTGGCACTGAGCAAAGCGACCATTGTGGTGGGTATACTGGGGGCTTAACCTGTCAGTCACTGTGTTCACCAATCAGCACTCGGGCTGATGCAGTCCTCCTGGTGCTCAGCACAACACCAACAATGCAATCAACTAGTCTAATTGTTTCCCTCTCATTTAAATGAAATTAGTCACCAGAACATCCCTAGTCCTCGTAATCACTTTGAACAGGAAGAATATTCTATAGTTTTGGTGCATTACAGGGTAAACAGGTTACAGTACACACAGCTGTTTGACAGAAATATAAAACTGTGAATAAACAAAAACCAACCTACCTTATTGAGCTCTTCTATTCTCCGGATCAGGTAAGGGTTGCTGGAGGAGTTCTCAAAGTACACATAATCTGAAACAAAGAGTAGAGAATCAGCTTACAGTGGAGTTACATGTCAACCCACGTCCCTGTACTCATCAAGTAAAGAACTACAACAATATACTTTACAGCAGCGTAAACTTTTAAAAGTAAGTACTGACTGATTTTTATGTCACATATTTATGCAGCAATACAAT